TAGAAGGAATCACAATTTTTAGATTTTTAGTTATGTTATTTTGAACGTAATCTCATATTCAAAATATGTGAGCTTAGCCTTTGAAATCAGGTGCCTGAAAGGGATGGGTATCTGCTTCAGAAGCTACAAATTCCTTAACACAGAGAAACAGCAGAAACCAACATTTCTTGAGTGCCTCTTATGTGCCCTCCTGGAAGCAGGTTACCTGTTCTGTTTATGGTTTCTTTTAATTTTTCACAACCATTCATTGAAGTAAATTTATAGATTTGAAAGAAAATCCATTCATAGATTAGTGAGTTGGGTTTTTGTTAGGTTGAGGGTGATAAGGCGGAGGAAAGAGTACACAGATGGGTGTGGTTGGGGACTTAAAAGCAATGGTTCTCAACTGAGGGTGACTTTTACCCTCCGGGGACATATGACAATGTCTGTGGACAGTTTTGATTCCGGAGGGGAGATACTACTGGCATCTAGCGAGTAGAGGCCATTGTCACTAAATTATTTACAATGTACAAAACAACTTCCTCTTATTCTCTCCAACAAGGAATGTTCTTGCCCCAAATTGCAACAGTGCTGAGGTTGAGCAACCAATAACTTAAAATTAACACAGAAAATAAATTATAACAAAAGCCCACTCTATCTCACTGAAATGTATGCAAGAAATTTTAGCCTGATTCACCCATCCTTGCAAATAGCTATGTTTAAATATTATTTCTACATATCTCAAGGAATAGAAACTATGGTTTACTAACAACTAATTTAAATGTGATTTCAGGGGTCCATTGTTTTTTAGGTTGTCACTTCCAGGATATACTTCTTTTTCTCAAGCCTGAATTTTTCATTGTATCAATTTGGCCTCTTCCATTTCCACTGGACCTCTCTGTCATGGAGGTAGTAATTAGCTGGTGGCCATTCTGCATGAAGTATGGTATGTAGAGGCCACTATTGAATTGCCTCTGAGCTTTAGATACCATCAACCAAGTAAGGAGTGTGACAGTATGTTAGCATCATTTAGATTGTTGCTAAGCATAAAAAATAATGGGGTGGCATAAATGGCATTAATATATGGGGTCTTATTAATAAAACACTTTAAGTTCTATTTTTTAACATTTGGATTATGCCTCAAGACTTGAGGTTGAGTTGCAAGGTGTAGCAGTTGAGAGGCCCTGTGCTTCCTTCCATCCCAACAGGTTCCCTTCTACAGCATTACAAGTGGTCATAGATTTGTAAAAGATAACAAGTTATCTGGGGAAATATATCATTCTTAGACTTATCAGTGTTTTAAATGTCAGAACACTAAAATCAATGAAGAGTTGGGATGAAGCTGGTATGAGAGAAGAAATCTGGAAAGCTGAGAAAGGGAAGGTTTGTGAGGAATGGTGCAGTAAGAAAGAGTTAGTCAAACAAACAGTAGTTCATTTAGCATGCCAGGATCACTTTTGAGTACCTTGATATAGGGAGCATGTGAGTGCTTCAGACACTGGGGATGCTGTGGGGGTTGGGAGGGAACGACAAGGACCTTGCCCTGATACAGAGCTTATATTCTAGATGGAGGAAGACTCAATAGAGAGTAACTGATTATGGTAAGCGAATGAGGGAGATAAAGTTGCAATGTGGGAGAATTAATAGGGGGTGGGCTGTGTTAGGAGCTTTAAGAAAGGTGATATTTGAGATGAGAGAAGGGATGGGATTAAGCTAGAACTGGAAGGGCAGGGAGAAGGAGCAGCAAATGCAACGTTCTTGGCTGCTGAATTTATACAATAAAAGCATTTTATAGTCCAGGGAGAAAGCCAGATATCTGCTTCTCAGTTTTAATTGACACATGTGCTTTACTTACCTGGAAAATAAATGATCTCTTCCCTCTTAAAAGATATCACCACCTTCTCTACTAAAAAAAAAAGTGTATGAGAATGTAAAATGTCACTAATTGAGCTGTCTTGTCATTTATAGACCCTGAAGTTCCATATTAAAAAAATACAGATTTTCCTGATACTTTTTAAAAAATATATGGAACATGGACATACAGATTGTTCTTGTACACTACATATTAACATTTCATATGCTAACAATTTAAATTCTATAGAAAGATACAAAACAACCTAACTAGCCACTTAAAATAATGTTTTAAAAATCTTTCTTGGCCTGAAAAGATTTACATATTTTATTGTTTATCTGTTTTCCTGCTGATCTTTTTAATTTCCTGAGGTGACAAAATCTACTAAAATGGGTGGTAAGTGGCTGTCCCTTAGGGTTTGTTTTTTTAATTTGTTTTCCCTCAATTTTAATCTCTCAAAAAAATTGTAAAAATAAATAACACAAAACTGATCATCTTACCCATTTTGAACTGTACAGTACAATAGTGTTAACTGTACAATATATACATCTTGTTGCGCACAATTATTTTAACTTTACCTGAGTTCCAGTTTTATGTCTGCTTCTAAGAGGGAGCCTCCGAATGAGGCACATACCCTCTCAATACCAATTTTATTGACTTTTAAAATGAGGGAGAAAAATCAATGCAGGAAGAGGATAGAGGAAATAAGATAATGGACATTGGAGATTCAGAAGGTGGGGCGAGGGATGAAAAGTTACCTGTTGGGCACAGTGTACAATATTCGGGACATGGATATGCCTAAAGCCTAGACTTCACCACTATACAACATATCCCCATGCAACAAAACTCCATTTTTACCACTAAATTTATTCAAATAAAGAAGTTTTATTAAGTAGTCGGTAGGTTAAAAAAAAGAGACTAGGAAAATGAGGATGACTTTTGAAGTTAAATGTACACATCGAGTTTATTATTTTACTGTTTTTGTATTTGCTTTGAGAATTTCCATCATAAAAATGTTTTTTAAAAGCAGCAGAAATAGATAAAACTAAAATTCTGTTCCAGAACTATCATCGGTGTTCTTAAAAAGTCAGGGGAAGATCTGAATAGACCTAGAGGTCAAGTGCAGTAGCCAAAAAGGTGTGGGGCCAGCTCAGGAGAGGAGAGTAGAAGGCGGCAAACATTTGAAGAGGGATCACAGATGGAAATTTCTAATTTAGCTAGATCTGGCTCTCTTAAAACCTCTAGTGAAGGGGCTTTTCCTATGTAGCCTGTCCCCTGGTCATCCTTACCATCCCCACTTTTTTTCTCCTCCCTAAAAGTTGGCCCACGCCTTCCATTGTCTTGCGCAGCCTCTGGATAGAGCACAATCTCCAAAGTTTGTTTGTTTATTTATTTTTGGTTGTTGTTAGGCTAGTCAAGTGAAGCAGTGGGTGTAGAGAAGTAATAAAGAAATCTACAGATTGGTTATGATTAGTTAGTTATAAACACCAATGTACTTGAACCAGCCTCCAGAAGTCTTGCATGCTGTCAGTAAGATGATCAAGAATTTCTTTCGTCCTGACAATTTTAGGATCTGTTCATTTCTGGGACACTTTGGTCTTTGCCTTGAAGCTCTGATTAGGTCTGAATTCAGTGGTTGGGTGCCTGGAGCCATCTATCTCCTTATTACTTTTTGAGAATTATTTTGTTCAATGTACAAGGTGTACCTTTGATAGAACTTTCACTCTGTTTATTCTGGAACTGTTGACCCCTCCAACTTCACACTTTGTTTTTCTGTAAACTCCAGCTAAGCTGTTGAGAGCAGAGACTTATGATACATCTCAAAAACCCCAGGAAAACATTTTGATGCAAGAGCACCAGAGATGCTCCTAGTGATCCCAGGAGTAGGCAAGCATACCTTCCAATACTTTGTCAAGGACCAGCCTTCTGAAAGGCAGAGGCTTAGGGCTCAGGTTTTAGTGCTTTTCTGAGGCTGGAGATAGATGTACCGCCCCCTGTCACCCTAATATTTGAACTGTGTGTGCACACACTGTTAACTTTGTGATTTTGATTTTTTTTTGGTAACACCCCCCCCCAACCCCAGGTGAGGTCTTTATAAAAGGTGACAAGGGAAAAGAATGAAAAGAATTAGGTCGGGATTGATGTAAATGAAACGCATAACAAAAGAGCTTGAAGAATTACAGTGTGGATGGCAGATTCAGTAACCCTGGCAGTGTTAATAGTGACTTGGTGAGTAAATTATATACAGCTTTCCCTGTCCTTAGAAACTACTGACTCCATCTACCCTTCCTAAGTTGCTGCAGTGTTTCTGTGATGGAGGAGGGAAGAAAGAAGTTGGCTTATAATTAATTTGCTGTCTAATCTAATATTTGGTTCTCCTGCAGTGATTAAACAGCTAAGTATTGAGCATATATCTATGTTAGATCCTGAGCAAGATGCTGGGGCCAGTGTAGTAGGCCAGACAGACCCAGAGCCCTCTTTTAATGTAGGAACTGCACACTGGTCTACCGGTACGATCTCTTTATTCCACATAGTTACAAACTCTGTGATATTTCTTCCTCTTGAAAAACAAGGTTTGGCCCTCTAGACCTCCTTCCTCACATGGCAAAGTTGGAATTGGGGGATGGGTTGCTGAGAAATGTTTGCAGTGGTAAACAAAGGCACATGTTCTACAACCTGCCCTGGCCTCCGTCTCTCATTTGTATTCTTATTTTGGCCCTTGAGACCATCTGGGTTGGGATTCCCTCATCTTCTCAGCTTTTTTTTTTTTTTAAACTTAAGCCATTTATTGACCATTCTAAAAAACACTACCATAAGAATAAAGTAAACACAGCCCAGATCACTAGCCCTTGCAGAACAGGAAGAAGCCCTGGACAGAGAGCCTGCAACTGTTTTTCCTCACACCCAGAGTCTGAGCTTCCTCACATATTCTAGGGTTCCAAGTTTTGTCACCTCTTATAAGGGAAAGGAAACTGGCTAGAAGATTTGTATACAAGAAGGTCACAACTTTAAAGCTATCTGATGGTAGTGGCTTGTACATTCTAGTTTGCAGCACTGAGAACAAAATCAAATAAGCATTGTCAAATACCTACTCCAAGCTACACTACTGTCATTGTTCTTTGAAATTATCTTTGGGACTGATTATGTTCTTTTACCATAGCTTGTTTATCCCAGAGCACAAACCCTAAAGTCCATGCACAGTCTCCATGTTCAAATGTAAAAGTCTGTTTCAGGACAACCTCAGAGGTTGCTGTAGTGTTTCTCTCTGTAGTGTCTACTGGTATCACACCCTTAGAGAGGCTGGTCAAATGGCAGCACAGTGAGAGGGCAACACAGTCAACTTTCCCTATGCCAGTCAGTCTTTTTCCCTTGCTCAGTCAGTCTGGACACTGCCCGCAGTCAAGGCCGAAATCTTGACATCATTGATGACCTTGGACCTATGTTCATTCTGCAGCTGTACTCTTATGTATATGAATCCACTTCATCACCATTGATTAAATGGCACTTTCAAAACGTGTCAGGCATATTCTTAGGAAGTGTCCTGGGACGGAGCTGCAGGGTCTTGGCCTTCAGGCTCTGGAGGGGGTGCTGACACAGCTGCTTTTTTCTGGGCCGCCAGGAACTCATGAATTGCTTGTTCTATTTGCGGCCTGAAGATGTGGTTTAGTTTTGGATCCACCACCTGAGAAATAATCCTGTCTACTCTAGCTTCCAACATGCCTGACTGAACCACACTCTGCCTCAGACCATTTCGTAACTGGTTTTTGTTCATTGTAGGATTCCATTTCTGCTTGTCCAGATGTGTTGACACAAAATTATCCACTTTCTGCCTCAGGTTTTGGTAAGCTGGCTTGGTGTCCACGTCGGCCAGGCAGTCCCAGCGGAAGCTGTCAAACAGGCCCTAGCTCTTGAGCTGCTCCACGATGAGAGCGATGAGCTGCGGGTCGCCAGGAGACAGTGAGGCTGGGTTGATGGGGCCGCCGCTCCCGCCGGCCCCACTCGTGCCAGTTGCTGCCCCGGCCGAAGCCGCCGTCTGCCATGGCTGCGCCTGGGGCCCGCGAGGGACACCGAACGCGGCTTCTTCTCCACAACGGAGGGCCTGGGTGGGGAGGAGGGGGCGGAGGAGGACCCCCAAGGAGGCGGCGGCAGAGAAGGCAGGCTCTCCTTCTCGGCTTTTTCTTACGGGGATCATCTTGTGGCCTTGGGAGCTTTGGGTGAGAGCCAGGACAAGAAGCTGGCTTGGAATGGGAAATGTTACTCCCTGTTGGTCTCTCCTTGCCTGTGGTGATGACCCTGAGCTATGCCCTTCATTCAGCCCTTCCCAGGACACCCCTGCATAGCTCTCTATTGTGCTTTTCAGGATTAGAATTTCAGTTAGAAAGGGGAAGTTGTGGCTCTAGCTTTTTATAACCCTCCTATCCATGAACCCTCCTTTCTTGACAGTTGTGTTCTTTTCTTTGTTCCTTATGTCCACCTGGGGCATTATTCCTGCTTTCACACTTGTGTGTTGGAGGCCCTTCCTGCCCAGTGGGCCCTTAGTTTCCTGCTCAAGGGAGTGCTGCTCACCTTTGAAAGCACAGCCCACCTCCCCTCCTGGAGTGCTCTGAAGGCTGGGCAGTGGGGGCTTTGGAAGCTGGGGGTAGGCAGCAGAGAACAGAGCTGCCTACAGGAACTCTTCTAACTTCTACCAGAAACTCGCCTTTATGTGTTTTATGTATTAGGCTTTCTCATACATTTCCTTTGAAGAAAGCATTGCAAAGCTTAAGGTATTGTCTGTACCATTAACTTGGAGCCTGCATGTTGCCTTAATGTTATTTCATTTTTCCTAATCTTGGCATCTGATCTTTTACAATTGCATCCTGAATTCTGGAGGGCAAGGTCTCTGTCTTATATGTGTCTACTGTCCCAGATCCCAGCCACTGCACATCATAAGGTTGAAAATAAATATTTGTTGTGGGAACAAATTAATATTTCATTTGCTGATTGGCAGAGCACAGAGTTTATAGGTGATACAGATTTAAATTTTCACAACCTGAGACTACTCTCTGGAGGACATGTCTATTCCTTGCTTCTCTCCAAACATAGGTAGTTTTGAAAATGGGAGCCATCCGTACCATCTTCTTTGTCTCACTCATCTCTTGTGTTCCTTTTACCTGTATCTTAAGTCTCTGGCTAAAAGTAAAGGACATGTGGGGACAAGTGGTGACAGGCCTGGCTGGAGCATCCCTGGGAGCTCAGAATCATCTGCTATAGAGGAAGCTGGGAAGGGCTGGGGACTTGGCAAGGTTTAGGTTGGAGAACAAAGTCCTCTAAGAAACACCCTGCAGACTCCCAGAGTTTCCCATTAAGAAACAGTACTTACAACATGGCACCTCTTATTGGGCAGCTTAGTACCATTTAGGGGAGACCCCATATCCCAGGTCAAGGTGGAGAGATAGCTGAACTGGGAGTTGGTAGCCCTGGTTTACTTGCCATAACCCCACTGGTTGCTATTTATTTAACCTTAGGCAAGTCACTAGACTTTTCTAGGTCTATTTCATCTAGTTTTAGGAATTTGGTAGGGGAGAGCCCTCATAACATAATTTCCCCTCTGGAGTTTCACTAGAGGACCCTAAACCTAAGAGAGCGTGAGGATGAAAGGACATGAGGCAAACATACAATTTATTTCCAGTCTCCATTTTATCCTAAAATGGGAATTTTATACTCTGATCTTCACTATAGCTATATTTTCACATGTGAACAACTTAAAAGTTATTTTTTGCAAATTATTTATTGTCCTCAAATTTTGTAGTACAGCTGATGCCCCAAGGATATGTAATAGGCTTACCCCTGGCTTTGTAAATTCTCTAGGAGGTCCTCATGCTACTTCTAGGTAATTTTTTTGTGGTTCAGTTTTAAATTTCAAAATGGATGGAGATTATTATTTTATAATAATTACTGCATATAACAAGTCACTTAGCCTTCCCAATAATCATATGAAAAAGGTACTATTATTTACATTCATTTTATAGACAGAAAATTGAGGTGCAGAGATATTTAGTAAGTTGCCCAAAGTTACACAGCTTGTAATTGGTGGAACTGGGATTTGACCTGGCTGTTCTGTGTTTTCTTTCTTTCCTCCCTCCCCTATCCTCCTCTGTCACACTTCACTGTGTTGCCCGGGCTGGTCTCAAACTCTTGGGCTCAAGCGATCCTCCTGCCTCAATGTCTTAACCTCACTTTGCTGCTGTTCTGCCTCTAGGATAGACTAATTCAGGTAAGCCAATTGATTTTTTCCTTTGGCCATTGATAATGTGATCTAAGAATTTTGGTACTATTTTTCATATCCAGTACATGCCACAGACCATTTTTGCAGTAAGTATTGATGTCGTTTGCAGGCACCTCTTTTGCCTAAAGCTCAAGTTCAGTGGTAGGACTTGATGTCTTCAATTACTAAGAACTCAGGTCAGTCTCAGTTCTGTGGTCAGAGATAGACTCTCCCTGGTACCTGCCAACTTGCCAGTTCCAGAGTGGTACCACACAGGTGGAGGGGTGCGGGGGTACCTCTGACTAGAGCAATTGGTATCACTGCTGGGGAGACACACAATCTAAAGATTGTCTTATGATTCCAGATGATGGATCCACATAAGCCTTGTAGTTAAATGTTTTTAAACAATGTGAATAAGATACAAAAGGTACAGATATTGCTTCAGATGCTTTTGCAGTATTATTTGATATTGATGCAGTTTGCTTAGAGTTCATTGTGTTTTTTTAGCTGTGCAAACAAAAACCAAGCCCCATTTATTATGCACAGCTCTGTTGAATGCTTGTGGTTAAATGTCTGCCAGATATTTTAATATATAGCCACAGATCACTCTGGGTGACATCAACACCAACAAGGTCTGTGTGTTTTTTTTTAGTTTCTTTAAAAAATTTAGTTTGGGCTATGGATATAACCCACTGTAGCAACAGCAACAGTAAAAAGTCACTGAGGAGAACAGAGTAACCTATATAGAAAGAGGATGATTTAACTAGACATATGACATAGAAATTAGACACAGTTAGAAGAAAGCTTCCACATATTCCTACCTGGGGACCTATTGGCACACCTCTGTGAGTGCTCATGGGTTATTTTCTTGGTCTGCCCCACTGAAGGCTAACCTCTCCGTGGTACACTAAATCCCAACATCTGTCCTTTGGCTCTTGTAATTATCCATATGTGATCTCTTCTTCCACTCCCATCTCCCTCCAGCTACTACTGTGCCATTTCTCTTTCAAAGAGTTTTCTGTATTTACTGCCTGGCATACTTCTCCTCTCATGCTTCTGCAGTCCTCACTCCAGTTAGCCTTTGTGTTCCCCGCCCATCCCAAACAACTCTCCCTTCAGTAGGAACACCTGGGACCTCCATGTTTCAAATTCAGTGTTGAGTTCCCAGTCCTCATCTTAATCATCCTTCCAGCAGGATCTGGCACAGCCAATCCTGCCCTCCTCTTTGAAATCATTTTTTTAACTTGGCTTCCTTGATGCCACACTTGGTACTCTGCCTACCCAGACTGTATTCCTTGCCAGTCTCCTTAGCTGATCATGCTGGCATTGCCTCAGCCCCTCATGTTCAAGTGCCTCATTCCTCCCACTGCTTCTCTAACTGCTCTGACTCCCAATGGTAGATTATATAGTCTCTTGACTTTTAAATGCCAGTTAAATACTGGCGATTATCATCTCAGAACTCTCTGTTCAATTGCAACTGTTTTCTCAGCATCTCTACTTGGATGTCTAATTGGCATCTCAAACCTAGCATGTCTGAAACTTAACTCTTCATTCTCTTCTCCATACCTACTCACCCCTGCCATACCCAGCCTGCCCCATCTTGGTAAATGGCAACACCATGTTTTCAATTGCACAGGCCAGAAATCCTGGAGTTGCCATTGGCTCCTCTATTTCACTTCTACCTGTATCAGCAAACCCTGTCTACTCTTTAAAACGTATCCAGAATCTGACCAGCTACCTGTTATCTCCACTGCTACCACCTAGGCCTTTCAGCTGACTAGCACCTGTCATCTTTCAACTGGATCAGTCAGCTGGGTTCCCTCTTATATTCTTGCCTTTGGAATAATCCTCCAAAGATCCTTAGACCATTCCATTCTCCCAATCAGAAGCCTTATAGAGTTTTCTATTTCAGAATAAAGATGATAGCCCTTATAAACACAATGGCCTAGAAATTCCTATGTAATCTGCTCCCCCTATCCCTGCCCAGCTTAATCAATCTCATCATCATCTTCCTTCTCTCTTGTTTATTTTGCTGTGGTGACACTGCCTTCTCTATTGTCCTTATAACTGAGCAGATACACTCCCACCTCAGCGCTCCTGTTCAGATTCTCTCCTGTCTTGCCATCTTCTTTGTTGCCTAGATATTTCTGGGATCTGCTTCCTCTTTTCCTGCAGATCTTTGTTGAAATGCCTACTTTATCAGAGAAGCCATCTTTCACTGATCACCCTAAACAAAATAACAGCTGCCCCCACCTGTATTGCAGGATTGCCTATCATTTTTATCCTGCTTGAGCACTCATCACCAGCAAGCATATTGTGCATTTGATTGCATTTTTTCCTCTCTAGACCGGAAAATCCATTAGGGTAGGGACTTTGTCCCTTGTTCATTGCTGTACCCCCTGAAACATGGTACCTGGAGGTTACCACGTACTGAAAAAATTTTTGATTGCCCAAGTGAATTTTTCTAAGCAAGGCATTAAGAAATAGGCTATAGGGAATGTAAGACCCAGTGTACCTGCCATTTGAGATGTTCTCAATAAGATCATACTTACTAGAATAAAATTTCATTGGCATTGAAATAAAATGTCATTGTGTACAAAGGAAGGCATGAGAGCAGCAGGGAGTAAATTTAATATTAGTGAAACAAATGTTCATTGTTGGAGAATGACTGAAATTTTACCTTTTCTTTCATAGCAACAACTAGAAAGTTAAATGTAGTTGAAGCCATGCTATGTTTTATTGAGTTACATTTAGAAGGACTGCTGATCATACAACAAGCAATGCAACTGAAGGTAGAAGAAGAAATCTCCCAGGACAAAAGAATGAGAAGCTAGTTTGATTGCCACCCAAGATTGTCTTTAAGGCATTATATCATAGTTCGTTCCTTTCCTAATGGTACATAAAATAATGGAGTGTCTTACAATCAGCAGTTTCAGCTTGGATGAAATAAATAGGGTGCATCTCTTTTCTAGATCTTAGAATTTTAAGATCTATAAATTGTAATTTTGCCATTTATAGTTATTAGTTTATATTTTAGTTTCTAAGAGAACAAATGTTTCTCTTCCTTAAGAATTAAACAAGGAATGGAGAGCTTAGCCCGGCACTTGTGTTATGGTTTCTTGGTTTTCCTAGTGAATGTCTTCCTCCAGCATTAAGTAGAGAACTGGCGTCATTGGGACTAATTATCTAGTAGTGAATTTTGACTTTTGCTGTGATTCGTTTGAAGATAATTTTTTTCAGACAGCTGCAGGTTTTTCAATTTTTTCTTTTGAAATAATTATAGGCTCCTAAGAAGATACAAAAATAGTACAGAGAGGTCTCAAGTATCTATCACCCAGCTTCTTCCCATGGTGATGTCTCTCATAACTATAGTACAGCTGCAGTATTTGATAGATGATCGTGTTCTCTTCCAATGACCTCCTGGGGTAGGAATAGGGAGAACAGGTAGTTTTGTCATGATATACAGCTAGCCATCTCACTTTAGGGGAGGGTTCCTGGTCACAAAAGTTTAGACCAGAGGTGGAGAGAAACTCATACATACATTGGGTTTTATGACCTAGAGGAAATCATCACTTAAGGTTAAAATATGTTCAAGAATTAATTTGTGGACTAGAGCTTTCCATTGATTTGTTGTTGTTTGCTTCAGCACAGCTATCTTTTGAAGAAATCATTTTATAGTGATTGTAGACCCTCTAGAAAACTCTTGAAATAGATCAGCTTGGAGTTCTAGAATCACATTTGGAAGGGACTTTAACCACTCATTGGATAGGGTGACTACCCACTTGACATCCTTCCCAGGTCCCTATTCCAGCTCCTAAGACCCTCCTCTGTTTAGGGTCTCAGTCCAGTTTCTACATGATGGGGCTTTTCTTACCCACACATCAGACAATGGATAGATACCTCTGTGTTTTTTTCTTCTGCCTTTTAAATACATCTAGATCCTTTAATCCTGCAGTAGTTTTAGCACCTGTGCCCCCTCCGCCATCCTATTTGCTGCTTCTCCATAGGCTACAGTTTTTCAATAGCGTGGCCACATCTTGGAGAGAGGATAATGATGGATCAGGTAAATTAGGGTGTGAGCTGAGAGGTAAATTATAGGAAAAATATAGGGACTTGGTACAAGATTGGTAACTAAAGCTCATTATTAAAATCATATTCTTCAAATGAGGGTTGTGCCTTCCCTTCTTTCTCTTTTCTGTTTTGTATTGTCTATTTCCCTTTGGCTTGTACTTTTGGACACCCTGTGCTATCTTCTATCTTTTAAAGCCAGACTTTTAGGATGTCTGCATTGTTAGGGTCTGGGATACCCCTGTCTACCTGGTCTGAATACTCACCCCTTTTTTACTCCTTTACTTCATCACCTCCCAGCCGAGACCTCCACCTCCACCTCCACCTTCACCTTCACCTTCACCTCCACCTCTACCTCTGTCCATGCTCAGATGTCTGGACTCCAAGTTGTCTTTGCTGCTGTTTTATATTCTTTTTTCTCATTGCTAGATGAGAACCAGTTCATATCAGCATAATTAGCGACTGTGCTATGTGAATATGCTGAGACCAGTCTTTTCAATTTATTAACACTTAATTATGTCTTCCAAAATTCTGATTCTGCCCACGTAAAACACTGTTCTCCCACTTTCAGTCTTAAATGTTTAGCCTGTTGGGGAGCAGTAAAACCCCAACAGGCTACTATACATAAACAACAGAGATGTAAACTTGGGCATACAAATTGTCATCCCCAAAGAGATCATCATTAGAGGTCAAAATTTCCAAGTTGAACAACACACAGAAATAGAGAAGTTGAAAGCCTTGGCTTATTGAGAGTGGTCTTGAAATAATTTAGTTGGAGACTCCAATAAAGGTACTAGGTAGGACAAAAAACTGTCCTATAAATAGACAAGAACTTCAGAAAACCCAGCAGTGTGATAAAGACATTATTCTCTGAGCTCTTGTGTGTAGAATATTCTATAAGAGTACTGAATTCATAGAGAACGTTAGCCTAGCTACAGAATATCCATACCTATGTTTAAAAGGAAAAAAATCATGGGTAGGTGACCAAGAGGACAATGTTTTTCAGCTCATTTGTATAGTAAAAATATAGCAGAATCTCAGTCCAAAATATGCCCTCTAACTTCCTAATGCAAAGACTTGCCCAGGAGTAGAAAATATTTATTTGTTCAAGCCATTCCCCTTAGAAGCCATATTTATTCCCATCGTAATAACTCTACATACGTTTTTCCTCCTTTTTTTGTTCTATGTTTTTTTTCCCCCTCCACTTAGGACAATAAGGGAATACATGTATGTTTTTAAATAATGTTTTGATCCATCATTTTCTTAATACTACTCTTAGTAAATTCTTACATTGATGAAGACCCACCTATTTCAGCTAAGACAATTAAAAAATTTACTGACAACTTCATGTTCACTACCACCTATTAGGAAAGGAATGCCCACTTTTTCCTGAGGGTTTGTTGCATGTAGCATTCCCATTGGAATGCTCTTGAGAGGTGTTGGATTCATTCTCTGAGCAATTGTTTTCATAAATTCAGCATAGTGCTCATGGCTAGATGGTGTGTAACCTGGTCTCTACCCAATATTTTCCCTGTTGTTTTCACACTTATCTCCAAGGGCCAAAGATTATCTCACAGAAGCTCCGAAAGAATTCCTGTTTCTGAAATTCATGTGTACAAGGAAATTGTTAAAGGGAAGAGGGTGATAATCGAGTTCAAACTCTTAAGAATTTTTGTAAAGGATTATATTGATTAACAAAAGCTCTCTGGCATCTTCTGGCAGACACGTGAAAAAAAAGCAGTGATTGTAATTAGTTTTTAGTGAGTGGCGCATATTTGATAATTGCCCTGATTCACGCTATTATATTTCTCTTCCTTCACCCACAGCAAAACAAGCTTAATTTGATTCATACCCTTAGGAAGAAAAAAAAGACTAAGATTACTCACATGGCTGTGATTCAGCTCTTGGCTCCCACCACCACCTCCTCCTCCTCATCCTCCGTTTCTCCCACCCTGCCCACTCCCATCTTCACTCCCACCCAGTGGTGTTGCCATCAGAAAACTGAGTCAGTTCATTCTTTAAAATGGGTGGGGAAAGAAGACAACTAATAAAAACTTTTCTGAGCAAAGTATACTGCTTAGATCTGAAATCATTACAGGAAGACAGGCAAAGTGGCTACTTATATAACATGAGAAGCTTGGAACAGGCCAGGTCTTATAAAAAATGTTCACATTGTCTTATAACACTAGACATGGTTAGTGTGCATGTCTATAGAGGCACACACATAGCCATGGAGGCAGGTTTCTTTGAAAAATTTCTAATATTGGGAACGTTACATACACTATATACAAAACAAATCATCTGTTTTCAAAGTAGGATACTTTGCTGTAATCCAAAGTAATATAGCAGGTAACCAGAGATTTTTGATTATTGTAAAACATAGGTGATAAAGTCACTTTTTTTTTGCCTTCAAATGAGCAATGTGACTTGGAAACCTGAAATTATTGTTTCCCACCCCCAGGAGTAGGAAAGTTAGTACTGGGGGTGGCAGCTTGCCGTTAGAGAGGTGATGGTGGTGGCAAATGTTATCGAGGCAGCTATTTCTATTCCTTCTTTGTATTTTCTTTCTTACTCCCATTCTTCGGATGAGGCAGCCTTGGAGAAATGCAGTGACTATTCCATTTTCCCACGTGTAATAATCTTAGAGCCAGTATTGGAAGCCATACTATATCTGTCTTTACCCTGACCTGTAGTTTTGGTTTCTGGGAACCCAATACAGTCAGATCATTTGGTATTTTAGAACTTTTCCTGGGACAGGAATGGCCCTGAATAGGAAGCTCCACAGCAGCCTTGAACTGAACTGTTGAGTTAGGTCTGTATGTATCCTCAAACCAAGCTCTCACTCGGAGGGGAACAGAATGGAGCCTTCCCCTAACACTCGTTTGTAATCCCAACCACCCTTTCCTCGTTTTGCTGGCTTTTCCCCAATTATGTTACCATCTGTCTTTGAAACATTGCCTGGATAAAGCATTCGCCCTTAAACAAAACACAACTGCTTCACCTCCCCACACCCAGAGCAGTGCAGAGCACCGTATTTGAGGAATTCCATATTTTATAAAGCTTGCCTGTACCTCAGAGATGTCTGGTTGCTGTCCTTTTATCATTCTTCAAATATGTTATGTGCTGACTGGAAACTATTAGCTTTTGTCACTGAAGGGTTTGTGGGATGCTTGAAATGGCTTCATATAGTTTGCAGATGGAAATTCATATGGTTTGCTTAAGAAATGAAAATTTTTAATGAAAGTCAGCATAGAATAGAATGCACACTGAGATTCCCCACACAACTCTCTGGGTTTCCTTTAGGGTAAATGTGGCAGGTTTTTTTTGTCATCACCCTGTGGAGAGAATAAACAGTAGACCTCCAAAACTTTTTTCTGGATCTGTACCTACATTGTCACGTCTCCAGTTAGTGGCCCCTTTTTGATGACCAAGGGCAGTGCTCTGTACCCACCAGGGCTGTAGTGTTTCTCCCATTCTCTGACCTGTTCACCTCTTTTCTTGGCTGATGACCGTTCCAGTGTCTTGACATATCAGGGCCAATGAGAATGGGAGTTCTTAAATGCCCTCCCCATCTGGCCCCAGGAGACTGTGGGGAAGTTTGGAGGGGAAAGGCCCAAACAGATCTCAGATGTAAAGCTTGAATATTTTAAATGCTGAAATGTTGGGAGGAAAATATGGAGTGGCTAGGTGAGTGTCATTATTAGTAAAATAGTTACAAGTGATTCTTTTTAAAAAGGTTATGGAATTGTATTTTTCTCATTCAGAAATGTTATTTAGGGAATGACTAAGATGTGTATGACTCCACAGTTACTTGTCAGGCATTGTTCTCAGCACTTAGAGAGTAATTTCTTAATCCAGATGCTACAGCTAGGAACAACAGAACCGGAATTCAAATCCCAGCAAGTCTGGCTCCAGAAGCTAGGCTTTTAAAAGATATAGGTCCTTTTAGATGTCAGAGTTTTAGGTGTTTGATTTTATTAACATTCTGTTTTCATAGCCTGGGTTGATTTTCATTGAAAGTCATCTAATTATAGATTTGATGTTCTCTATGTATTATAAGAAGGTAACTGTCTCTAAGCTAATGAAACTCAATACATGCTGTTGAAGTATGAATGAGTTTTAATAACCGAGTTTTAATAACATAAAGTAGAAAGACTTCAAAAGTCTAATTCAGAAATTCACTTCTAAATAGCTTTGTGAATTTAATTTCTGAAAATCAATTCTATATGTAAATTGAAATGTGAAGTATATTTCAGTAAACCCTAAAGGGATAGTCTGTAAAGTGTACAGTCAACTCCTGAATTTACACTGTTTCAGTGTGTATACCTTTTTTGTGCCCTCATCTACCGATTTGAAAATTAGATACTATAACAGTTTCCTATGTTATAAAAGTAGAATGTGTTTTCTATATTATAGCAAAACTAGTTATCCATCAAGGCATAATCAACAATAAATGCCACGCCTTGGTCAGAGCAGTTGCTGACTTTGCTCAAGGTTAAAGGAAGTATGGTGAAAAGAGATAACTGTAATTAAACTGCTCAGCCCAAGCCTTCCAGATTTTTCTTGTGGGGAATTACACTTCTTATTACTACATTATTCCTGTCTGCGTAATACCTGGAAACAATGTACTCTATGTAATGCCACTCCCATCTTGGCAGTAAACATTTTACTGAAGAGGAAGACTTTTAGGGCCTAAATGTCAATTTATCTAATTGGAATTTTCACAGATGACATTTGATGCTTTTCAGGTTATTATTTTGCAGCTTTTGGACAGATTGGGATTAAAGGACTATACAGATTTTTTTGTTACGTGATTGTATCGTGTATGTGCTTGTGTGTGAGTTGCCCAGGTTAGACTGAATTGCAGTAAATGCAAAAGTGAAAGCTGCAACGTGGCTCTGACCACTTCCTGAAGAACCTGCCACATGGGCCCCAGACTTAGAGACTTAAACTTGAGTCCTCAGGATGGAAAGAATCTGAGTCCCTCATGGTAAAGACCTCAAGTAAATCTAAACATATAAAACCTGTTTATTGCTCTTGTGTGAACCCAAATGTTTGGTTGCCTCAGTTTTCGGTGCACTATTCTGAAATTGTAAATATCAGGGTACAGAACCAGAACTTTGTCATACCTGAAAAATAATCTTTTAAGTTTCTTGTTTACATGATCCTATTATTTGAAACCACTTAGAACATGCGTTCTGATCCTTAAATGTACAAGTTATTAAAAAAAATGTGAGCTTGTCAGATAACTACAACCACCAGTCTAATAAAACTGAGTCACATCAAAATGGGCTGCACTTTACACTATCCTCTCATTCTAGGGAAAACGTGGCTGGGGGAGGTAGTCTGAGTCATCACCTGGTTTGTTTGACATATACTTCCTTCCATAAATTGGGGATGGCAAGCAGCACAGTGTTCTGGGCTTTCCTGGGAGAAGGAGCTGTTGAAGCCTTGCATGATCAAAATATAGGGCCTTTAGGTTTGACGGATGAAGTGGAGCCAATATTTTGACCTCAAATGTCGGGGAGGGGGAGAAGAACTAACAGATTCAAACAAGGAACATTTGTAAGTACCAGTTTTGGAGGTCAGAGAAAATGGTAGGGGTTTTCACAGTTGAATTTCTTGCTAGGACATAAAAGGTATTTAAGAGAGAAATTGGGGGCATTAAAATAAAAGTAAATTGGTAGCTAGGTCACTAAGTGGGTTCATTTGCTTAATAAGAATGTTCTTGGTTTAGATAGTTTAGATGATTGTGTGTGGGGCAGGGGAGGAATGATTTGGTAGTTACAGTACAAATTTGTCCTGACGGTGTTTAATTTTGCCTAATTTATCCAACTATTTTAAAAGAAATAAATTTCATGTAAGAACCTTGTCATGGCAAATTTGAATCTTTAGGGGTATTTCCAGGGGATAGAGAGAGAGGCTCATCTGCCTTGCACATTTTCCTACAGCAGTTTTGTAGAGGCTCACTGGAGCTTTTTAAACTATAAAAGTTTAGAATGTAAAATTGTTGGGGAGACTATAGAGGAATTTGAAGGAAGAGTAGATTTATAGCTGAATTGGGTTTGTAAACTCAGCCTCTGCTTTGGGATTATTTTTTAATATGTGCCAGACAGTCTTCTGATTTCCATCCTGGCTTGGTTGTGGCTCTTTCTCTGACTGTGTGTGGCTGGGGTGTTCCCTGTTTTAAAGCTGGAGTTGTTGCTGCCTGGGCGTTTTCTGTTTCAGCTTATGGCTTTTTTTCTCTTTTCCTGAATGAGTGTCCTTTGTGTAACCCCAGTAATTCAGAAATCCTGCAGTCATAGGGACTGCCCTGTCATGTGACTTAGGTGCTAGGTGCTGGCTGCGATTGGTCAGCAGCTAATTGGCGGGTCCCTATAAGAGGTCCTGGGTTGGGAGTCTGGCCACTTCTTCTGCCTGGGCTGCTGCTTAGTGGGGGTGGGGGTCTGCCCAGTGATTCAGCCACATGTGATAGATGACCTAGTGAATGCTTTCTTAGGGTCTGCACACCAGTGGAAGACACTCAAACTGGTTGTGGCCGACTTGATCAAACAAACTCTGGCTTCCTGAACTGGTAACTGTCACTTTAACATAGGTTACTGATTAAACTCAGAAAAATGCGGCTGAAAATCTTTGCCAGGAACTTGTGTGGACTTACTCCGTGTTCCCCCTCTGCCCCTTGTTCTGATTCGTTTTGTCACAGGAATGAAGTGCAGATAACTCTTCAAAAACTTTTTTAGGAAAAGCTCCTTGTGTGATCTGGAACAAAGACGTTTTATAATCAGATTTATCAAGCTGTGAAGAGGGAGTTTTAGCGAACGGAAGCAGCAGCATTCTGTCACCAGGAAATACTGCTTTATCCAGAATTGGTAAGTGAAAAGTGGCATTGCTCCCTAATAGATATCATATGTGTGTGTGGGAATTGCAAAATTGTTCACAGACCCCTAACAACTCTGTTGAACAGAGAACACATAAACAGAACGAGGCGTTCTAAAAAAGAGCAGCTAAAGAATATAGCATAAAGGCAGAGAAGCAGCCAGGTAATTAACAAAAATGAGCTGAGTGTTATCAGTTTAGCCAGGTGTATGTAATACAACTAGATTTTGGTTTTCTTTTTCGTTTTTCCTTTTTAGTGGATGGAAGTATAAAATGAGAATGGGCTGTTAAGTAGAATTGCGGCATTACTTTTCCTGGATGTAGATTTCCATTTAGTCTGAATAGCATGTATGAAATTTGAAGGGATGCTTTTAGAATGAGTCAACTTGCCCTCCTTTCCCTCCTTCTACTCCAGGGTGTCAAGTATTTAGTTAGAACTTCATGAAATGAAAGTTCAAGTAGTATATCAGAAAATACTTTATCCTGATTGTGAAGGGCAGATTATGATGGTAAATAGTTTTTTCTTACATTTGTATCATGAATTTTAAGATCGTTCTATTTCATTACATTAGTACAGCAAAAGGGTGGTTATTTCTATTTATATGGCCCATTACATTTTGAGAGATCATGATTAACAGTTCTTACTGGTTTGATGTGCATGTGTCTGCCTATCTTTCTCTGAAACATTACATTCAATTTTAAAATCTTGAATCTGAGCTTGCCTCCATGGTTAAAGTTTCCAGATAAATATAATGAAGCTTTGAATACCTGTGCGTTATGTACAATAGGTTCTTATTGATGACCTGTAAGGTAATATAATTTTATATTAAGCATGAATGTCCGATTTGTTGATCTGGTTTCTTAATGATTATGCCAAAAAGGTTGAATAGAATAAAAAAAGAATATTAGAATGGTGCGTGGCTACCTGATTTTACCAATTTCTTATTGTTCAATAGAAGCAATCATGTGATATCTACTTATAGAATCAGATAAAAATATTTTCTTCTTTTAACTGCTAGCAATTATGTAGGTAATTTGGGTGATCTCCAGTTGTAAATGTGAATATGTATAATTAAAACTGTTATTAACAGAATTACAAGTTATAGGGTATATAGGACATAATGTTATTTCTTTCCTTTTAAATACCTTAAGCCAAATTAAAAGGTGAATTTACTTTTCTGACTTTTGGTTACCATTTTGTTACTTTAGAAATCTTAAAATCCTTAACTCGAAAGGGAAAATGTATAATAAAGCACGATTGCATTGCTGCATTTTATTTCTGCTGGTAGTGGAGGGGACGGAGATGAATCAAGGGGATCTGTTAATTCATCTTTTTTTTCCTCTTTTATATACTGGGAGAACTTCAAAGGTCATTTTCTCAGACTGTTAGCTCTTAACACTCTGTATAAGTATTTATTTTCAAACAAATAGATAAAAAGACAAGCATGGCTGTTAAGGGCAGGTCCTCCAATAAATCAGGAAATTGGTGATAAAAACTTGTGAATATCACAAGTCATTTGACTTAATTAAGTTGTGGCACTCAATCCTGAAGCACATGAATTTATAGGATTTTAGAATCTTGAAGACAAAAATGACAACAAAGTGTTAAGATATTTATGGGTAATTTATATTCAACTACTTGCTTGTGTTTTTAGCTCTGTATTTCATGTAAATACTTGGGTGAAACATGATTTATTTAACAATCTGGCTAAATACTGCCATGCTTGATAGAGAAAAGCCTCTTTGTAATTTTTAGGTTTTCCTCATCCACTTAGAAACCATTATTTTGGGTGACAAAAAAATGTGATAGAAGCAGGCTGGAACAGTAAATGCTAGAAAGTATATCCCAGAAGAATTATTTGAGAACTTCATGTTTTCAATCCTATTTGCCATTCCCTGTTCTCAATTTATTAATTTTTAAAATGAATAACATAGCTTGCCCCGAATTCTCCCCAGGAGTCATTGAGATTATTAGCATTTTTGTATTCTCTGTTAAAAGATAGTAACGTGCGTATGTCTTTGTCTTTGTGGGTATGTAAAACAGCAGACTGTGCTGAAGGGAATCGATCAAGTGACAGACCTCAAATTTTTCCTCAAATAGTATTTGATATTTGCATATTCAGGAATATAAGTACTTTCCCCTTAGGCTTGTTTCTTAAATTTTTGGAGTAGTATGTACAGTTTTGCCTAATTAAAATTTCTTTTGAGATCTGTATATGTATGTGTGTATATATTTGATTTGAAGGGGAAGCCTTAATCACTAGCGAAACAAGTGCCTGTTTGTTAGAACCCAGATAAGCCTCAAAGTGTTGTTCCTATGACAACTGAGTACTTGGGTGTTGAAATGTAGCTTTAAATTCTCAGTTTGGAAATGTCATTCAGACCTCCCACTACAATCTCATTGAGTAGGAGGATAATGAGAAGGGGAAAAACCATGAAGCAACATCAGTATCTCCGTTCATTTCATGTCTTCCTGACTTTCTTTGTGTACGGGATTGCCATGGGAGTGGTAAACATGGGTCTTGAACAAAGCAGTACTCTGATATAAAATAAATGGAAAGGGGTCAGAAAAGTTGGGGGAGATAAATAACAACACATGGGAGCAATACAGAGGTGGGAGAAGCCTGTTTCCACAGGTTCTTGCAAATCTTTTATCCAGCACTGACCAACAGTGAGAACATCTTGAACCAGTTATTGTATAGCTCTTCAAGAGCTATGAATATTTCCTTAAAATGCAATGTGGAGAAAATTCCTTTGGTAGCAGGATGGTTTACCACTTTGGCATAACATTTATTCATCTCCCCCAGGCTGACTTTAGAGGATACTGTGTTCTTTTAAGGCACATGTTTTTTTTTTTTTGAGACAGAGTCTCGCTTTCTTGCCTAGGCTAGAGTGAGTGCCGTGGCGTCAGCCTAGCTCACAGCAACCTCAAACTCCTGGGCTCAAGCAATCCTACTGCCTCAGCCTCCCGAGTTGCTGGGACTACAGGCACGAGCCACCATGCCCGGCTAATTTTTTATATATATATATATTAGTTGGCCAATTAATTTCTTTCTATTTTTATAGTAGAGACGGGGTCTCGCTCAGGCTGGTTTTGAACTCCTGACCTTGAGCAATCCGCCCGCCTCGGCCTCCCAGAGTGCTAGGATTACAAGCTTGAGCCACCACGCCCGGCCAAGGCACATGTTTTTAAACCAATTGTTCACGTGTCATTTAATAGTTTTTGTCTTTTTTCTATGGGAAAGACAAGGTTGTACCATTAAAATCATGATAAAACTTAAGTATTTTATCCTATATCCAAAAGTACTTTAAAAATCCATAAAGATTGTTTGAGACCAGTTATTCTTGGAAATGAATTCAGTGACTAAGAATCTATGGAACACTGTATTTGAGGAGAAAGGGGATTGTACAGATTAATATTTGACATAGCTTAATTATGCAGCTGTGGATTTTCCATGCCTGAAGGACTTCCTATTTCTTACTCCTAAATGGTTTTGACTGTTTACTTGGTCACTAGCACCTCTAAAAGATAGAAAGGAAAAGAAAATATCAGTGGATTTTGCCCCCTTATTTAATAAATACAGGTCCACCATCTCTTCTGAAATCCAAAAAACTCTGAAAATCAAAAGATTTTAATGTAAAATTGGGCCAAAAATCCTGACTTGAACTGATGTGAGGCTAGTTACAGTTTTATTTAGCTCACTAAGTATGAATCATTATATTACTGTAGAAATATTAATGTGTTTCATTATGGAATACTGTACAAGACTCTCCTGGAGTTTTATATACTATGTAGAATAGTCATCCTATTACCTTTATAAAATAATAAATGATAACAATCTGAGTGGTGGGTAAGGGTTTGTGGTTTTCTAATTACTGACATACTTTGAGCTCTTATGCATCAGATGCTGCTATAAATAAAATCATGGGCATCTAAGAACAGTGCCTGGCACATAGTACATAGTAGGTACTCAATAGATGTGTTTTGGTGTAAAATGATTTACTTATATAAACTTCTTTAACTCACAAAAGCTATGTATAGCCAATGTGCTTGTTATCCCCATTTTACATGGGGAAACTGATGGACAGAGAGGTGAAGCAATTTGCCCAAAGTGACACAGGCAGGAAGTAGTGGAGCCAAGATTTGAAAGCAAGCAGTCTAGCAGCAGGCTGCTCTTATGAGCCTGATTCAAGTGGGAGAGGCCTGGAGACTTGGCACTGGGACTCTTGACTGAGTCATAGGGGCGTTTCAGCTACTTTATTCTTGGTCACCCTGTGCCTCATGTCATCAAAAGTTGATGATATCACCACATGGTCATTACCAGGGGCTGTTGTAGAATGCGTATAACAAGTTCTCCTGGGCAGGAGTGTGGGAGTTTGACTTTTAATCTCTTCACAAGCTTCCCAATGTGATGTATGTCAGTGAATCAACCTGACATTTTCATCTCGAAAAATTAAGATATAGACAATAACTATTTCCTTAACACCAAGGAAATTTTCTTGAATAGCGGGAAAAGTCTTTGATAGACATTTTTGGGGGCTCCTTACCCAGCAGGAGGTGTTGGCCTCTAAAGAGGCCGTGGGTCACCTTGGAGCTCCGTGGCATGGAAGCAACACTGGGACACAGTAAGTCCCCTTGGGAGAAATCGCGCAGCCTGTGGAACTTTAGCTGCATGACTTCACCCAAAAGGATACTTATAACAGTACTTCTCAATAACAGATATAAGGTGCCTCTCCAATTCCCATATATTTCTAGGAATAAAAAAAATTCTAAACTGATACAGTATTTCCTGTCCCTCTTGCCTGCCTATTTTCTTTGTTAGCACTTGTCTCTGTCTTACAATTTTAGTCAAACACTAGTAGTATTGTTAACCTTTGAACAAATTTAAAGGCGCTAAATGTATTATTTCTCTTTGATCTCCCATCTTTAAACTCATTCCCTCCTATTAATCTCAGACTGTTGTGAATAAATGAAAGTTTATTTGAAATTTTC